GTCCGGGGACAGACCCTCAACGTGAACAGCCTGGTGCACATCGTGGGGCACGGGGACTTCCAGCTGAGCCAGGTGGATGCTCCCCCTGACCCGCTCTCCTTGAACCCACGGGTGCTTAAGGGACAGAAGAGGAGTCAGGACATGGAGGTTCAGGTGTGTGGGGTGAGAGCTTTGCCAGTTCTTTTAGAACTCAAGGTTTCTAAACTTTCATTGGGGGAAATACAGCTGGGGGTATGTGGGTGAGGGGAGGGGAGAGGGAGTTTTGTCTGTGCTCTGCTGCTGGGCTGAGGTTCTGTGCCTGCAGTGTGTAATGGAAGTTACAACACAACATCGTGAAGGGAGTTTCACCTGAGACTGACTGCAAGCTTTTAGGTGTGTTCAGATCTAGGAGCTCTGCTTTTCCCCTTCAGGATGACTCTGGAAATGGTGCTGTTGAGATGGAGGAAGATGTCAAGGTGCTGATGAAGGCAGATCCAAGCAAACAGGAGTCTCTGCAGTCAGAAGTGGTTCCTGATCCCATGGAAGGGGAGCAGACGTGGCCCACTGAAGAAGAGCTGCAGGAAGCAGAGGGTGAGCAGAAGCAATAGTTCTTATCTCGTCCTTGTTCCTCTTAGGAGGGTTGTTAGAAACTTCAGTCACCAGGGTGGCTGTGAAGAAACATCTTAGTTGGGATGGCTTCCATCCCCAGTCCCATCAGGTGGCCAGCAGGTTTGCCTGGCAAGTTAGCAGGTTTTAGCTGTCCTGACAAATTCTGTGCTGGAAAAAAAAAGCAATTCTAGTCTAGATCTGGTTTTGGCTGTCCTGGTGTAAATGTTGCTGAGGGGAAGGAGAGCTGATCCTGTACTAACCACTGGTGGGAATCCTACAGATTCTCTGAAGGCAAACAGGAGGGTGGTGAAGGTCCCCAAAGGCACATCCAAGTACCAGGCTGCCTGGATTGTGGATGATGGAGAAGAAGGCAGTGAGAAAGATGATGATGATGACGAAGATGATGACATGGATGATGATCTGATGGAAGAGGCAGTTTCTCAGGTACCTCCAAGAGCTGATAGTACAGGTGATCTCCAGGCCATTATTGCATGTTCTGGAAAGATTCTGTCCTTCCAGCTTGCTTTGTCTATGCAAGGGCATGGTGCAGAGCCAGGGCTTGCCTGGATCTCCACTGTTAAATCCCTGCATGTATCACATTGCTTCTTTGGCCTGTTAGACCCCAAAATGATGGGCTGGGGTCCCAAATCCCACAATGTGAGCACACCCAGTGCTGCATGCACAGCTCTGTGTGCTCACAGGCTCTGTGCTGCCCTGTGCCAGGAGGGGGAGAGCAGTGAGGAGGAAGCTGGGGAGGAGGAGAGCGAGACCATGACCGTGTCCGAGTGCCTGCGGGATGACCAGTACGACGAGAAGATGGAGGAGGATGAACAGATGCTGGAGAGATACAAGCAGGAGAGAATGGATGAGATGTTTCCAGATGAGGTGGACACGCCACGGGATGTGCCTGCCAGAGTCAGGTAAGAACTGGGATGATTTCCTGGGAGAGGAGCTGGAAGGTGCCTTTCTGTTTAATTTGGTGAGGAAGCCTGTGATGTCTTAGCCGTGGTGTCTGAACCTGGCTGAAGGACTCTTGTGAAGATTCTTTTTGGCTCTGAGGCTTCCAGAGCAGGCACTAGTTGGCAGGGAGAGCTGGGTCCTGACCTGGCAGAGAGAGGAGGATGGCCCTGTGGCAAGGACAGGTTGTTTGGGGATTTGGCTGCTGGTTTTAGCTCTCTTTGCACCGACATCTTTCCTGAGGGCTAATGTTTGCTTTGCACCCTTTGTCCGCCCTGAGGGTGTGAGGCCCTGCAGACCACAGCTGGTGGTGAAGGATGGGATTCACCTCAGTTGATGAAGCAATTTGTCTTTCCTGCTCTCTGTTCTCAAGATTCCAGAAGTACAGGGGGCTGAAAAGCTTCCGGACTTCTCCTTGGGACCCCAAAGAGAATCTTCCAAGGGATTATGCCAGGATCTTCCAGTTCCAGGACTTCTCCCGAGCCAGAAAGAACCTCTTCAGGCAAATAGAGAAGGAGGAGACTGAGGGAGCTTTGGTAATTCCCTTTTGCTGATCTTTTTCCCTATTGTGTTCCTTTGCTCCCAGTAGGAGTGACTTTTCAGGGAGCTGGTTGGGTGGATCTTTCAGCCAGCTGGTTCTTAGCATGAAGCTCTAAGTTCAGACAGTTTTCTCCTGGATTCTCTCCCTAATCCAGGCACATTTTCTGACACTTTTTTTTTTGTTGTTGTTGAGAGAAGTGTTCACAACTGCTCCTGTCTTGGCAGGTGGGCTGGTACGTTACACTTCATGTCTGCAATGTCCCTGTCTCAGTGATGGACAGCTTCAAGGAGGGGAAACCCCTGGTCCTGTTCTCACTGCTTCCCCACGAACAAAAGGTGAACACAAGGGATATACCTTGGAGGGGTGTGCAGCTCCCTATTCCTTCAGGCTGCATGGCCTGGGGAGGGTTTAATCCTCTCATTAATACAGGCACATCTTCTGACACTTTTTTTTTGTTGTTGAGAGAAGTGTTCACAACTGCTCCTGTCTTGGCAGGTGGGCTGGTACGTTACACTTCATGTCTGCAATGTCCCTGTCTCAGTGATGGACAGCTTCAAGGAGGGGAAACCCCTGGTCCTGTTCTCACTGCTTCCCCACGAACAAAAGGTGAACACAAGGAATATACCTTGGAGGGATGTGTAGCTCCCTGTTCCTTCAGGCTGCATGGCTTGGGGAGGGTTTGGGCTGAAATCTCCCCACATTGCTCCTGTTTCAGAGCAGGTTGAGGCACACAGAAGCTGCTGGGGGGGGTTAGCAGAAACTGTCTGAGCCTAGCACTGGTGACCAGTGACCTTTTGGGACCCCATTTTTGAGGACATTCATCTCTGCTGCAGTGTCCTGTTGTTTAATGCTGCCCACCATCCCCTGCCAGCAGCCCCTGACTGTGCTGCCTCTTGCAGATGTCCGTGTTGAACTTCCTGGTGCGTCGGCATCCTGGCAACAGCCAGCCAGTGAGGGCCAAGGAGGAGCTGATCTTCCACTGCGGGTTCAGGCGCTTCCGAGCATCCCCCCTGTTCTCCCAGCACACCTCAGGTTTGTCAGGGACTGGCTACAGCAGGAGTGGGGTTGGGAGTTCTGGAGCAGGAAGCCTGTGATGTCTTAGCCGTGGTGTCTGAACCTGGCTGAAGGATTCTTGTGAAGACTCACTCCTAGGCTCTGAGGCTTCCAGGGCAGGCACTAAATCATGGGGAGTAGAATGGCTTGGGAAAGGTGGTTCACTGATCCAGGCAAGGTCCAGGTTCCGTGCCAGAGGATCACCTTCATTCCCAGATACTCAGTGCCAGCAGAGGAGGGGTGTTTGTTGAACAGGGAAGAATGAGCTCTGGGGTTTCCCACAGCTCTGAGGGCTGCTCTTGACCTTTCTGTTCTGTCCCAGCTGATAAACACAAGCTGGAGCGTTTCCTGCGCCCAGATGCTGCCCTGGTGGTGACTGTCTACGCTCCCATCACTTTCCCTCCTGCCTCAGTGCTGCTTTTCAAACAGAGAAGTAATGGTGAGTTGATAAATGCTGAGGAGGTGATGCCTGGGAAATAAACTGTCCCCATACCCTGCTTACACGTGCATCTCTCCAGAAAGCATGACTTGAAAAAGCTGTTCCCTTCCTGCTGTTTGAGATGAGCTCACCTCCGTCCCTGTTGTCACTTGTCTGTCCCTGCTGTGGCGTTGCTCTGGGCCTGCAGGCCTTTGGGGAAGGGGTTTGTGGTGGGGAGGGGGTGATGGAGGCACCTGCCCTGGTGCATTGGTGACTCTGCCTGGCAGGAATGCATGACCTCATTGCCACGGGCTCCCTGCTCTCCGTGGACCCCGACAGGATTGTCATCAAGCGCCTGGTGCTCAGTGGCCACCCCTTCAAGATCTTCACCAAGACGGCTGTCGTGCGATACATGTTCTTCAACAGAGGTACAGCTGGTCTCTGGTGGGAGGAGGGGTTCTGGATGTTCTGTCCCTGTGCTTGTGTTGGTGCAGCACAGCCTGTTCCTTACCTGCCTTTTGTGTTTCCATCTCCAGAGGATGTGATGTGGTTCAAGCCCGTGGAGCTGAGGACAAAGTGGGGACGCAGAGGGCACATCAAGGAGCCATTAGGTAGGTTAGATTTGGTGTTTATCTCTTGTTGCTGGCGTGGTGTGATCCTCCTGTGCCTGAGAGACTGCTAATGGCCTCTTCTGCCCTCTGCCTAGGGACCCATGGGCACATGAAGTGCCACTTTGATGGGCAGCTCAAGTCCCAGGACACGGTGCTGCTGAACCTCTACAAGCGCGTGTTTCCCAAATGGACTTATGACCCTCATGTCCCAGAGCCTGTGCCATGGGTGAGGAGTGAGAGTGCACTGCCAGAGCAGGAGGTGGAGATGGAATGAGTCTCCAGCATGGCTGGAGTTTGTGCCTTGGCTCCCTGGATGCTGTTGGCCCATGCACTGTGAGGACAGCACTGATGCCTTGGACGTGTTACTGCTGGGGTCTGTACAGGGGCAGCTGCTGCTCAGGTACCAGCTATAGCTATTTATTTTAATGGAAAATGTCAAAAATGCCTAAGTGCCTCTGTCGTGGTGGTGGCCAGGAGGCTGTGTGCACCCCTTGTCCACTGAACCCACTGGGATTGTTCCAGTCCCTCATGCCCTGCCACGTGGGGTGTGTGGGGATTTTGCTGTGTGGAGGAGTTTGCTGGCAGTTCCTGTGATGCTGAGAAAGAAGAGCCAAGTAGCAGCTGGGGAGGGTGACTGAGCGCAGCTCTCTGGAGGCCTGGGCCAGAGCAAGGCAGCTGGGGAGGGGAGAACAGGCAGTGCTTTGTTTCCAGACCCCCCACAGAGACCAGTGCCAGCTGCCCTTGTCCCTCCACAAAACCTCCCAAACGTTCAGACTTGATCTGTTTTTAATAGCGCACAAAGCACCGCACAAATTCAGAGTGAGGTTTTCATTCCATGACACGCCGCTCCATCCTCATTCTGCTTTCCCAGAGAGGTCTGTGAGCCAGGTCAGGGATCTCAGGTCCACGTTTCCCCCACACAGCACGATGCAAACGTTCTGCACGTCCTGGGGGACTGCCTGGAACTGCTCCGAGAGCACGGCCGCCAGTCCCACGCCTGCTGTTGGCTCAACCAGCAGCTTCATCCTTTCCCACACCAGCCACGTGGCTCGCTGTCGGGACAGGGCAGCAGCTGTCAGCCCAGCAGCCAGCACAGGCTGCTCCGGGGCATCCCTGCAGCACTCTGGGAAGGGAGGGCAGAGCTCCCAACAGCCCTTTCCAGCTGGAGACAGCGTGGGTGTCACAGCTGCAGTGGTGCACAGGGACTTGAGCTGCTCTGGGAGTGTGTTGGGGTGAGAGCAGAGGGGCAGGGCAGGGGTGGAGGCAGCTGCCTGCTGGCAGCTATCGTGAGAAGGGAGCTGGGAGCCTTTACCTTGATTTCTTCCTCTGAGACTGTCAGGACATCATCAACCAAATCCCTGATGATGGGCCACGTGTTGGGTCCGATGCTGGTTTTTACTGCGTCTGCGATGGTGTCCCGCGGGTGGAGGTTGGGGGTCAGCTCCCCTCGGACCTTGGACTGGTAACAGTCATCCACGTTGCTTGGCTCAGCAGCAAACACCTTCACATCTGGCCTCAAAGCCTGGGGAGAGCAGGGGGAGCCACTTGGGTGACACCAGTGTGTGCCTGTCCCCTGTTTCTGTGTGCGCAGGGGGCTAAGCAGGCCCTGCTGCTGCTGCCATGCAGACTTTCACTGCAGGGTCTTTCTGTTTCTAAAGTTAAAAGCTGCTGCCTGCCTTGAGAGCCCTGCCCTCCCCACAGGGAGATTCCTGGATGAGCTGTTGCCTACCTTGATAGCGACTGCTATTCCTGCAACCATTCCTCCACCTCCAACGGGAACCACCACTGCATTTACCTGGGGTGCCTGTGCAGGAAGGAAGTGTGAAGGCTTCTGACACTTTGTGTCCCCCTTTTTGCTGTGCCCCTGCAGGGGCTGGGCTGTGCATTTCCCTCACCTGCTCCAGCACCTCCAGGGCGATGGTGCCTTGCCCTGCAATCACTGCCGGCTCCTGGTTGGGGTGCACCAGGACTCCTCCTGTCTCCTGGACTACACTGGATGCTGTCTCAGCTCTGGACTAAGGGAGAGCACAGCAGTCACCTCTCACTCTGGCTGGGCAGCGTCCCTGGCCCATCTCCCTGTGCCTTACCTTGTCACTGGGGTCACATGGCACCAGTGTGGCACCATAGGCACGAATGGCATCTTGCTTACACTGTGGGGCAGTCCGAGGCACCACGATGTAGGCAGGAATCCCTGTGGCATGAGAGAGGAAGTCAATCCAACAGCCCAAAAGCCACAGCAGCCAGTTCAAACTGCAGGAGCAGGCAATGCCTTGCCTGTGCCAGCTGCTGCATGGGCTCAGGAGAGGGATCTCCGGCCTGTCCAATGGAACCAGCTCTGCATTTACCCCGTGCCTGCCTCTCGGGGGTACAGGTTACCTTCTGCCTGGGCAGCACAGGCCAGTGCCTGGCCGTGATTGCCGCTGCTGTGTGTCACCACAGCGCGGGGCAGCTCCCGGCCCGTGCGCTGCCTCTCCTCCACCAGGCTCCGCACCGCGTTCAGGGCACCGCGGATCTGCAGGGAGAGCGCAGGGCTGTGTGTGCTGCGCTCTGTCCGCCTCACACCGCTCCCCGAGCCCCGGGCAGCACCCGTGCAGGGGGCAGGAGCCGCTGCGTGCCGGCGCAACGCGAATTTCCCTCTGGCAAAAAGCGACCTTTGCCCCGGGGCTTCGCGGTGCCGCCATCCCTGCGCACCTTGAAGGATCCGGTCTTCTGCAAGAGCTCGCACTTGAACAGCAGCCTCCTGCCGGCCATGCGGTCCAGCGCGGAGCAGGTGAGCAGCGGGGTGCGATGGACGCGGCCCCGCAGCCGCCGCTCCGCATCCCGCACCTCGCCCAGCCCCAGCGCGGCCATGTGCGCGCTCCCGTGCGCGCCTGCGCGCGGCCGCGCCGGCGGTTTGTCCCTGCGCGGCCGCCGTCGGCGCCGCCCGCCCCCCGGCGCAGCCAAGATGGCGGAGGGGCTGGAGCGCGTCCGCGTCTCGGCCGCCGAGCTGCGGGACATGGTGGCGGCGCAGGCCCGCGCGGCCGGCGGCGGCCGAGGTGAGGGGCGCCGGGGGCACTCGCGACCCGCCGCTGGGCCGTTCCTTCCGCGCAGAGGCGGCTGCCCGCGGCCGCGCACGGCCCCGCGGCCGCGCTGCGCCTGGGGTAGGGCTTGGGGCAGAGCTGCCGCCCCGCACGGGGCTGTCCGGGGTGGGAGCGCACGGCACCGAGAACCGGGGGACTGCGCGGCGGGCGGCGGCAGCCGGAGCGGCTTTGCCCCGGGATGGTCGGTCCCAGCCCCTCGGGGTCCTCCGGTACCGGTGGGGGTTCGGGTCTGCAGGACGGACGGGGAGAAAGTTTAGGGAATGCAGCGGGGAGCAGCCCGGCTTCGGTGGGTCGGTTAACCGTGCGGGGTGCGGCCTGGGCTCTGTAACGATTTTTTTTTTTTTTTTTTTTTTGTAAATACGGTTAAAGGAGGAGGAGAGAGGAACGTTACCGGATTGTGAGCAAGGGGGAAAGGCGTCTTTGACTCAAACGGTGCTGGGGATGGCAGCTCCCGCACCCACGGCGGGCTGGTGGCTGTTGCTGAACCTGCCGTGATACAACTTTACTCTTGCTGCTTGTGCTCAAGCCTGGCGTTGTGCTTTGAGGAAAAGCCTGTTGCAGGATGGGATTTGTAAATGGCTCAAGGCCAAGGATTTGGTTAGCTGTGTTAGACTTTCTCATTTCCTACTCTTTCTCTGTGATTTCTCCTAAATATTGATGTAGATTTTCAGATCAGGCAAGCTCTTTACCTTGACTTGAGTATTTATCATGGTATTTTTTGGTCCCTGGGAGTAACTTTCTTCTGTCTGTTTTCCCCAGAAAACATGAAGGAGGTGAAGGAGCCGAGGCATCGCAAAGACAACAGGCGCCCAGACCAGGAGATTTACAAGCCTGGCCTCTCCAGACTGAGGAGCAAACTTGTGTCACCAAAGCAGGAGGCCTCGGAGAAGGAAAGGAGCAGAGCTGAGGAGAACAAGGAGGAGAGTGCTGGGGACAAGGACTCTGTGGGAGTGGGAGCTCCAGCTCTGGAGGACTGTGACAAAAGCGATGGCCCCAAGCAGAACGGTCCTTCACAGGAAAAGGAAGACACAGAGACCAAAGGCGGCCTGCAAAGCCAGGAAAACTCATCCAAGCAGCCCATCGCGGATGAGTGGTGTCCAAAGAGCCCCAGGAGAACCAAGAAGCCAGACCAACAGATCTACCAGCCTGGGAAACGCCTGCACTCTGCTGCTAAAGAACCCTCCCTGCAGTCGGCCAGCGAGGAGATCACCGGGAGGATGGAGCAGCTGAAGGTCGAGGGAGATGAGGAGGCTGAGAAAGGCACTGGAAAAGACAACAACAGGAAAATTAAATCGAGCAAGGAGGACAGAGAGGGGAGCCAGGCAGGGGAAGCAGTGAAAGCCTCCAGGGGGGATAAAGGGAGGCGAGCAGAGCGAGGTGACAGGGCGAGGAGGGCGGGGGATGAGGTGCTGCCGGGGAAGCTGGGCTCCACCAAGCGCTATTCCCGCACGGACAAGCGGCGCAGCCGGTACCGCACCTGCAGCACCAGCTCAGCTGGGAGCAGCAACAGCACGGACGGAGCCCTGCTCGTGGATGGGGTGGAGAGGAGGCAGGAGCGTGCCAGGGAAAGGATACGTCCTAGGAAGCAGCTGTCCGTGTCCTCCACAGACTCCCTGGACGATGAGAGGATTGATGAGGCTGAGGTGTACGTGTCCAGCAGGAATTCGGACAGGAGAAGGCATTCGGAGCAGAGCCGAGCTTCCAGGAGTGAGAGTGAATGGAGCAGCAATGGCAGGGAAGTCAAGGGACCCTTTCGAGTGACATTTGACAGCAGGACCATGAACAGGGACGTCAGCCTGGCAGATACAGATAAAAAAAAGTCCCTGAAGGCCTTGGAGGTTTCGGAGGCGAGGAGCCAGAGCAGGGAGCCCCAAGGGAGGGGCCGTGGGATTCTGTTCCTGCCTGCCAACACGGACCTCTCTGCCAGCTCCGTGGGTGTCCCTGAAGCCACTCACCCCGGGCCCAGGCTCCTGCTGGGCGGGGCTGGCAACAAAGGGCCCCGGAGCCGGGGCCGAGGTGGCACTGCCCGCCGCCTGTGGGACCCAAACAACCCGGACCAAAAACCCGCCCTGAAGAGCCAGACTGCTCAGCTTCACTTCCTAGACACGGATGATGAAGTGAGCCCCACCTCCTGGGGGGAAGCCCGCCAGGCCCAACCCTCCTACTATAAATTCCAAAACTCTGACAATCCCTATTATTACCCTCGTGCCTCCGGGCAAGGCCCCCAGTATCCCTACAGTGCATATTCCCTGCAGTATCCTATGGGTCCAACCAATGGGGTGTACCCAGGAGCCTATTACCCCGGGTACCCTGGCCAGGCAGGGCAGTACCTGTGTGGCCCACTGCCCCCTACTCCTCTGAGCCCCGAGATGGAGCAGCAGATGAGGAACATGCAGCAGCAGGAGCTCAGCAAACTCCTACGTGAGGCTGGGAACCAGGAGCAGCAGCTCAGCAACCTCCTGTCCAGAGACCGCATCAGCCCGGAGGGGCTGGAGAAGATGGCCCAGCTGAGGTTTGTGGGTGGGCTTAGAGGGGGGAGTGAGTCATTTCCAGGGTGAAATACAGGAGAAATGTGTCTCCTTGGGAATCTCAGTGCCTGGGAGATGTGGCACTGGGCTGCCAGTTTTTGATGTGCTGGGTCTGTTTGTTGTGTGCCAGCGGTGTGTGGGTGGTGGAGGGAAACTGTGGCTGAGGATGGATGTCACTTCCCTGGGCTGGGAGCTGAGCTGTGGCTTCTTGTGCTTGGTAAATGCCTTGCAGGGACACAGAGGAAGGAGCAGGACAAGCACCTGCTGAAGATTTTTGGTTCTTCTGGCTCTTGCTGGAGCTGATGTTTCTCAGTTCCATTGCTCTCAGTGTTTGTTGTCAGACTTCTGCTTTCTTACCTATCCTTAGTGTGTGCTCAGGCAGCATTTTGTGTGTTCCTGGTGCTGTCAGTGGCAGTGCCTTTCCAGTGCTGTGTAATTTTCCTCTCGAAGCCACTCAGCGTGGTGGCACTTCAGTGGGAGTAGCCTGGTGATGCCAGTCTGTCAGGAGAGAAGTAACACTGTTGCTCTGGGGGGTGGTTAATATGGCTGTAACAAGTTTCTACTTGGCATCCTTCACGTTTATTTGTGATCTCTGTGTCTGCAGGGCTTCTCTGGAGGCTGTTTTTCAGAGCTGACTGACAGCAAATCTAGCAATTGAGCTCATTTCAGGGCTTGTTCTGTGTTTTGGGCACTTGCTCTATAAACCACGGGGTGGAATATGTCTGTGATTGAAGCAACACTTGAGGTTTCATGTCTTCCTCAAGGAGCTGAGGTCTCCCAGAGCTGTTGTGTGGAGGGAGAGGGAACACTGGAGTGCTGCTGTGGCCTGTGGAAGCCCACCCTGCCCTGGGAACGTGGGCACAGTTGACCCTGTCCTTGCTGGCAGTGCCCCTGGTGTCCTGCCTGTGTCTAAGTGGACACAGTCCCAGCTGTGTGGGGACTCTTACGTGGCATCCATCTATGGAAATGTCCAGTTCCTTTGGTGTTTGTGCTGTCCAGGTGTGTGTGCAGGGTTTGGGGACTGTGTGGGGTCAGGCAGCCCATCCTGGCTCTGTGCTTTGTGCAGGAACCCACCAGCATTTTTCTCTTATCCTGTCAGGCTCTTCCAGGCATTGCCATCTGGCTTCACTCCAGACTTTACCATCCACACTCTCCTACTATTTCTGTAGGACTTGAAAGATTATAAGAATAAGGCAGGAACAGCTGAGGATCCCCTTTACCACTAACTTGCCCCACATGTTTCAGTGCTGTTCCTAGCCTGCAGCTATTTTATTAAATTTGGGGGAGGAATTCTGCTGCAGCATCCAGGTAGGGCTGTAGGCAGCTGGGAGAGGGAATGTGATTTCTGGGACTCTGAGGCTTTATTTCCATTGTTCCCAACTCGTTCATTTTTGGGGAAGCAGAGTCTGTGTCTCTGCTGTGTATTTTGGTTGGATGGAAGAGGGGTGGGAATCATTTTAATGGCAAGATCTCTGTTGCTCTGTGGTTCTTTGTGTTCTGGTTCCTGGCCCACATCTTGTGCTCAGAAGGAGCAGAGCCTTGTGTGTGTTCTCTGTGTTGGATCAGGAGTCACTTGTGCCTTGCTCCTTGCCAAGCCTTGGTCCATTCTGAGTCACCTGTACAAGGGAGATGCTCCTTTTGGATTTGCCCTCTTGGAGCAGGAAAGGTGTTAGATTGCAGCAGCTCCCCTTCCCTGGGGGATGTGTGTGGAAGCCCTGAGTGCTGCTGGCAGCTGGATGTGAGCAGCAGGTGGTTCAGCACGTGTTCCCTGTGTTCCTGGGCAGTTGCTGTTGCATTGACCCCTCCCTGACTGTGTCTTGCTGTAGGGTGGAGATGCTGCAGCTCTATGAACGGTGCATCCTCATGGATATTGAGTTCTCTGACACCCAGAATGTGGACCAGTTGCTGTGGAAAAATGCTTTTTATCAGGTGATTGAGAAATTCCGGCAGCTCCTCAAGGACCCTCAGGGGGAAAACGCCCAAGAAATTAGGAACAAACTGCTTTTGCTTCTAGATGAGGTAAGAAGAGAGAAACATCCCCAGATTCTACTAACCTTTGGGTGGGATTGACTGGTTTTTAGAAAGGGATGGTGTAATGAGGCAACTGGTCATCTTGATCTTATTTATGTCATCCTTATGCAAAGAGGATGCTCAGACACGTTATGGGGTAGGTGTAGGTTATTATGGGGTAGGTGTAGGTCGAGGTAGACATGTGTTACAATTTAAACCAATTTGTTTTGGTGTGTTTG